CCTGACATCTGCCTGGCATCACATTAAGAGGTTATCCCACGCCTCCTCTCTATTAAGTGAACATCATACCAATAAAGTGAACAGCCCTCCCAGAGAGAGTGTTCCTTTTTTTCCTCCTCCAAAGGATCATGACTAACACATTTCCTTACCTGGCTGTAGTAAAGCTACGGCTGACCACACAACAGAACGAAGAGTCTTGCAATAACCCACAATATGGTCTCAAGTAAAGTCTATGTGGATGTGCCCCTTTTGCCAATTGGTATGGATCCCCTGCTAAATGCATGGTGAGGTATGGTGTGTCCACTTGCCTCTTCTTGTACCACGTTAGACTCAGTCACAGTGAGATGGGCCTTGTGGCATACCCCTTGGATTGCTGTCTTGGGCTCTAAGCAGCTTTGGTATAAGATCCGATAGGTACACGATAGCTTGATTAAGCAATTTCTGAGGCCACAAGCGGTTAATCTGGTCTTATACCACAGGATTGATGCCTGTTGAGGCAAAGGAGGTTACATTCCTGCCACCCTCCCCCTGAACGCTCTAGAAAATTTTAAAACTATCCCTCTGGGAGAAAGTTAAGTGAAGATGGAGAGGTAGACATTCCTCATTCTCAAAGTCAAGAAAATGAATCTGTCCATGTGTGGACATGAATAGCAGAAATCATTCTGAGGACACATCCACCCAGTCTTGTCCTGTGGGGTCCAGGTTGTCCCAGTTTGGATGGGTCTGGGCGGAGGCATTCTTGGACCCATGAGTGCACAAGACGATCACCCTGGACTATGCATGGCAGTTTCATCATTCACTGAAAGACAATTTCATTGCCACAAAGATTCTAGAGAATACAGTCAAGAGGGATATCCTGCTGCATCAATACCTACTGTATTTCAGAACTGCTGGAGAAATGGCCATGTTCTGCAGGACCAAAAATTTGGAGATAAATACTCCCCAAAATTTCAGGGCCCTCAACAAACATAGAGTGGTCCAACACTTCAAGATGGAATCAGCCAGAATGATTGCAGGGGACCGGATGTTATTTATCTGTTTACAAAAATGCATACTTGCAAGTTCCCATTCAAGAGACTAGACATGTAAGCCGGCAAAAAAATCCCGCCGAAAGTCAATTTGTTTTGGGATTTGGATTTGGACAAATCTGAAATGTGAAATTTTCATTGGCCCTAAAAGTATTGCTCCAATTCCAATATGTAACATGTATGGCACAATTGTTGTTTTTGGATGTAGGCGCACCCATATGTGTTTATGTACATGCATGCACTTGGGGGCTGGGGGGGGGGCTTTAAAAAATGTTGGGGGGGTTTTATTTTATATGTTATTATTTATGTTATTTGTATTATTTACTTAACGTTATTGCTCTCACGTGTGATAGCACCTTACAGGCTCCCTTTAAGGTGACATTAGGGGTTGGGGATTGACAGCTCAGAACCTAGAAGTGACAAATTCATAGTTTACTGCCTGCTGTCAATCACAAGGGAGGCAGACATGATAGGAAACTTATCTTAGAGTTTTGGGGGTCTTTTCTTTTATATGTTATTATTTGTTACATTATGTTATTTTTGTAATTAACTTTATTGCTCTCATATGTGATAGCATCTTATAGCTTACAGGTTCTCTTTAAGGTGACATTAGGGGTCGGGGAATGACAGATCAGAACCCAGAAGTGACACATTTATCAGCGCTTCTGAGTTCAATAACAGGAGAGGAGATCAGAGAATGCTGAAAAAAGCAATACCGGCGCCCCCGGTTTGCAGAGAAATCCGGCTGTAAAGTTCATTGGTACACCATAGAGGCAGCTCCCACCGGTCAACAACGACCATCGATCTGGGAAACAACAGCAACACAGAGCGCCTCCATAGTATAAAACATGCCCCTGAAACGCGTAGACCTTTTTAAAAAACATACGGGAGCAGAGGACGCTGATTTGGAGATCCCCTCAGACTTCCCCTGCTGTAGATTTTATATTTTATCGTTTCCTTTTACGCTTATGATCATTGGCTTTCGTGTAAGTACATTTTCACTTGCGTGTTGTACTCATCAAATAAAAGTTTTACACTATGGAGGCGCTCTGTGTTGCTTTTGTTTCCCAGATCAGAGAATGGATAGAAGGCTCTTGGCTATTAAATCCACCTACTGCCTGCTGTCAATCACGAGGGAGGCAGACATGATGGGGCACTATTCTCTTAGAGTTCCCCATCAAGCTCTGCCCACCCCCAGCAAAAGTCTTCACCCACTGGCCCGCTTGAGTGACAAGTGAAGTGGCCAGGCAAATAGCTCAGTAGCAGTGATTTTGTCGGGCTCAGTGTTAAGGTGCCCATACACTGTACGATTCTTGTACGAGAATCGCGGGAAATCCCGGGATCGTACGAGAATCGTACAGTGTATGGAACTTCAATGAGCTTACGACCATCGCAAGACAAAGGTGCGATGGTCGTAAGGTGTATGGGCACCTTTAGGGTAATGCACTGAGGGTGGTGTGTCTGGTATGAACACTTTAGCCTCAGCATGCCAAATGGTGGTGCCTGCAGCAAACCCATGTACTTGTTTCCAACAGGTTCATTAATATAGGTAATCACTGCTATCTGTTGTGCGGACGCACAATGGGATGCTAAAGAATGTCGTACATTATTCCTGTTCTGGTAACAGAAAAAAATGGACATACTTAAAAATTAGTCAGAATACTTCAGGTGTAGAGTGTGCTCGTGCTTACCCCTTTACAATGTCATTACGTAAAGGAAGCTGCAATGCTGATGGATACTGAAAGTCTTTAAAATAAAAGGGTAAAGTCAGTACACTCTTTAACTGCTTGAAGACCAGGTGTTTAGATCCCCTACCTGACTCATTGTTTACTGCTTACTGTAGTTCTGTATTCACGCCATGTCTCAGTGAGAGCTTACAGCAAAAGATACATACATGTACCATAAGCGTATAAATGGCCAAACCCTCTGAATTAGAAAGAATCAACAAAATCACTGTATAGCAAATTGTAAATATAGGGCATACCCCAAATAAAACTGAAGGTACTTATCTACAACACAACACAAATGACGCCCCCTCTTGGTCATGCTGGTATATATTTAAACTATATTGATCACTAGTGACGGGCTCGGGCGTGTTCACAGCTCCACGTGCCGAGCCCGCCAGGCAGCTGACAGCGCCGCAGCGCCAATCACAGGTACTGAGACATTTCCCGATAATGTCAGCTGTCAGCTTCCTGGCGGGCTCGGCACGTGGAGCTGCGAACACGCCCGAGCCCATCATTATTGATCACAGGAGGAAATCCAGCTGGAGAAAAACATGCTAGGACAACACTAATTAAACAACATTCCTTCTACACACAGATCACTCAATAATGATATCCTTTATGACGCTACATGTCCTTGTATGTCTGGAATGTATTGCATGTCAATGGTATGGCCCAAATTAAAGAGTAATTTGATTGTTTTTAAAGGCTTGTTTCTGTAATCTTGTGGTTTTGCCAAAGCCATTTAAAGTGCGACTGAAGCCAAAACTTTTTTTCTTTTCAGTTCTGGATAGAGTAGAGAGGGATTAGAAGACCTGCCAGGTTTTTATCGCTGTCTTTATATCCGTTAGGTTGATTCACCCTGTTTGCCCTGGTGACCGTTGCCACTGAAAATGAAAGAAAATCCCAAATTTTGAGTTGTCATCGGAACAGGAACAAACTCTTCCAATGAGGAGACTAGTTCTGGTGATCCTTCTGACCACAAGAGATGAGCATGGGCTTGCTGTGAACCCTGTTTGCCTAAATTCGCCCAAGCAGCTCCAAACTGTGACCACCTCCTCCCAACCTAGTGGTGGCAGTTATGGCGCAGGCATTCCTAGTCTCTTTGTGATGTATAGCTGCAGGACAGGGAATGCTCCTCTTTTCGACTGATTGTGTCAGGAGGAAGGGGTGGCAGTCACAGTTTTGAGCAGGCTTTGGCTAAATCAGGCGAACTGCACCATGCCCAGCCTCATCACTACTGACCACCAGGGATTTCCCTGTCTTTGGATGGATTTCCTCTCACTTCCTGTTGAGGCTATAACAAAGTCAAAAGCACAAGACTTATGTTCTGTAAAAAAGGGCAGACAGGTTCCATCAGCTCCCCTGAATGACTCATCGATAACTAAATGCATGTCTCCCCCTCCCCGCTTGTCTTCTAACGCATGGATGGTAAGGATAACAATGATTGACAGCAGCAGTGGGTGGGTGCAATAGCTAGTTTGCTATTGGCTATTGAAAAGTGAAATAGCCAATAAGAATCTAGCTATGCATTCCTATGCTGTTTTTTTTTCTGACTGACAGCATAGAACATAGAGATGACCTAGTCAGTTTAATTTTGCGTCCTTACTGTCCAATGTGAGGCTGATGGCAGATAATGGACCAGACTTTGTTGCTTAACTGCAGCATATAAAAGTCAGGTCACTTGGCTAGCTGTGCAGCAAGGCTGTGTAAATCTGGATACACATACATTTCCATTATTTGACACATAGGAGAGTTCCTATATATGTATTTAGTTGTTTTTCCTGCTGATCAGCCTTAAACCGTGTGAATAAGAAGTAATGAATGACCGCCCTCCTGCAGGTGGAAGCAGATTGCCTTTCTTTAGGTCAGACTGACAGCGGCTCATTGTAATCCACGCCTCTCCTTGACAGTCATCCAATCAGCGGCCGCTCCGCCATGCGTCCCAGGCCTCTGTTTAACCACACGGTTCCCGCTGGGTTGTGTGGAATGAGGTTTGGAACGCACGGCTCCAGCAGTCCTTCCGCATTGGGCTCCTTCCCCTCCCCGCACTGGTCTGACGTTATTGCTGGTCAGTTCCGTGTTTACACACCCCGGGGACGAAGAGAGGCCAGACAGCCGGGAAAGGCAGGCTGGGGGCAGGGGGACACTGCACAGCACCAGAGAGAGCCAAGAAAGGCAGCGACTGTTATCCCTATCCTCCCCAGTGGCCGTCATTGTGTGTGTGTGTGTGTGTGTGTGTGTGTGTGTGTGGTGGGGGACATGCTGCGCTACCAGTGAGGGAGCCTGGGATTATCAGGTAGCCCATCACCCTTGTCACAGCGTCCGTCTACACTGCTGAGCTTCTGCCCTGAGCGGTATGTTTTCCCGACGAAGTCATGGAGACCTCAAGAAATCTACACAGAAAGTTCTGGACCCAAAGAAGGACGTACCCACCCGGCTGAAACACCTGCGAGCTCTGCTGGGTATGTACTGCTCTACAATGGGTATGGAGGGAGCTGTGCTGGGTATGCACTGTTCCACAATGGGTATGGAGGGAGCTGTGCTGGGTATGCACTGTTCTACAATGGGTATGGAGGGAGCTGTGCTGGGTATGCACTGTTCCACAATGGTTATGGAGGGAGCTGTGCTGGGTATGCACTGTTCCACAATGTGTATGGAGGGAGCTGTGCTGGGTCTGTACTGTTCTACAATGGGTATGGAGGGAGCTGTGCTGGGTCTGTACTGTTCTACAAGTGGTATGGAGGGAGCTGTGCTGGGTCTGCACTGTTCCACAATGGTTATGGAGGGAGCTGTGTGTGGAGGGAGCTGTGCTGGGTCTGTACTGTTCTACAAGTGGTATGGAGGGAGCTGTGCTGGGTCTGTACTGTTCTACAAAGGGTATGTAGGGAGCTGTGCTGGGTCTGTACTGTCTGTACGGATATGCACTGCTCTACAATGTGTATGGAGGGAGCTGTGCTGCGTGTGGAGTGCTCTGGGTATGTACTGTTCTACAAAGGGTATGGAGGGAGCTGTGCTGGGTATGTACTGTTCTACAATGGGCAAGGAGGGAGTTGTGCTGGGGATGGAGTGCTCTGGGTATGGAGCGAGCTGTGCTGGGTATGGGGGGAGCTGTGCTGGCTATGTACTGTTCTACAATGGGCATGGAGGCAGCAGCGCTTGGTATGAAGGGAAGCTGTGCTGCGTATGGAGTGCTCTGGCTATGGAGCGAGCTGTGCTGGCTATATACTGTTCTACAATGGGCATGGAGGCAGCAGCGCTTGGTATGAAGGGAAGCTGTGCTGCGTATGGAGTGCTCTGGCTATGGAGCGAGCTGTGCTGGCTATATACTGTTCTACAATGGGCATGGAGGCAGCAGCGCTTGGTATGAAGGGAAGCTGTGCTGCGTATGGAGTGCTCTGGCTATGGAGCGAGCTGTGCTGGCTATATACTGTTCTACAATGGGCATGGAGGCAGCAGCGCTTGGTATGAAGGGAAGCTGTGCTGCGTATGGAGTGCTCTGGCTATGGAGCGAGCTGTGCTGGCTATATACTGTTCTACAATGGGCATGGAGGCAGCAGCGCTTGGTATGAAGGGAAGCTGTGCTGCGTATGGAGTGCTCTGGCTATGGAGCGAGCTGTGCTGGCTATATACTGTTCTACAATGGGCATGGAGGCAGCAGCGCTTGGTATGAAGGGAAGCTGTGCTGCGTATGGAGTGCTCTGGCTATGGAGCGAGCTGTGCTGGCTATATACTGTTCTACAATGGGCATGGAGGCAGCAGCGCTTGGTATGAAGGGAAGCTGTGCTGCGTATGGAGTGCTCTGGCTATGGAGCGAGCTGTGCTGGCTATATACTGTTCTACAATGGGCATGGAGGCAGCAGCGCTTGGTATGAAGGGAAGCTGTGCTGCGTATGGAGTGCTCTGGCTATGGAGCGAGCTGTGCTGGCTATATACTGTTCTACAATGGGCATGGAGGCAGCAGCGCTTGGTATGAAGGGAAGCTGTGCTGCGTATGGAGTGCTCTGGCTATGGAGCGAGCTGTGCTGGCTATATACTGTTCTACAATGGGCATGGAGGCAGCAGCGCTTGGTATGAAGGGAAGCTGTGCTGCGTATGGAGTGCTCTGGCTATGGAGCGAGCTGTGCTGGCTATATACTGTTCTACAATGGGCATGGAGGCAGCAGCGCTTGGTATGAAGGGAAGCTGTGCTGCGTATGGAGTGCTCTGGCTATGGAGCGAGCTGTGCTGGCTATATACTGTTCTACAATGGGCATGGAGGCAGCAGCGCTTGGTATGAAGGGAAGCTGTGCTGCGTATGGAGTGCTCTGGCTATGGAGCGAGCTGTGCTGGCTATATACTGTTCTACAATGGGCATGGAGGCAGCAGCGCTTGGTATGAAGGGAAGCTGTGCTGCGTATGGAGTGCTCTGGCTATGGAGCGAGCTGTGCTGGCTATATACTGTTCTACAATGGGCATGGAGGCAGCAGCGCTTGGTATGAAGGGAAGCTGTGCTGCGTATGGAGTGCTCTGGCTATGGAGCGAGCTGTGCTGGCTATATACTGTTCTACAATGGGCATGGAGGCAGCAGCGCTTGGTATGAAGGGAAGCTGTGCTGCGTATGGAGTGCTCTGGCTATGGAGCGAGCTGTGCTGGCTATATACTGTTCTACAATGGGCATGGAGGCAGCAGCGCTTGGTATGAAGGGAAGCTGTGCTGCGTATGGAGTGCTCTGGCTATGGAGCGAGCTGTGCTGGCTATATACTGTTCTACAATGGGCATGGAGGCAGCAGCGCTTGGTATGAAGGGAAGCTGTGCTGCGTATGGAGTGCTCTGGCTATGGAGCGAGCTGTGCTGGCTATATACTGTTCTACAATGGGCATGGAGGCAGCAGCGCTTGGTATGAAGGGAAGCTGTGCTGCGTATGGAGTGCTCTGGCTATGGAGCGAGCTGTGCTGGCTATATACTGTTCTACAATGGGCATGGAGGCAGCAGCGCTTGGTATGAAGGGAAGCTGTGCTGCGTATGGAGTGCTCTGGCTATGGAGCGAGCTGTGCTGGCTATATACTGTTCTACAATGGGCATGGAGGCAGCAGCGCTTGGTATGAAGGGAAGCTGTGCTGCGTATGGAGTGCTCTGGCTATGGAGCGAGCTGTGCTGGCTATATACTGTTCTACAATGGGCATGGAGGCAGCAGCGCTTGGTATGAAGGGAAGCTGTGCTGCGTATGGAGTGCTCTGGCTATGGAGCGAGCTGTGCTGGCTATATACTGTTCTACAATGGGCATGGAGGCAGCAGCGCTTGGTATGAAGGGAAGCTGTGCTGCGTATGGAGTGCTCTGGCTATGGAGCGAGCTGTGCTGGCTATATACTGTTCTACAATGGGCATGGAGGCAGCAGCGCTTGGTATGAAGGGAAGCTGTGCTGCGTATGGAGTGCTCTGGCTATGGAGCGAGCTGTGCTGGCTATATACTGTTCTACAATGGGCATGGAGGCAGCAGCGCTTGGTATGAAGGGAAGCTGTGCTGCGTATGGAGTGCTCTGGCTATGGAGCGAGCTGTGCTGGCTATATACTGTTCTACAATGGGCATGGAGGCAGCAGCGCTTGGTATGAAGGGAAGCTGTGCTGCGTATGGAGTGCTCTGGCTATGGAGCGAGCTGTGCTGGCTATATACTGTTCTACAATGGGCATGGAGGCAGCAGCGCTTGGTATGAAGGGAAGCTGTGCTGCGTATGGAGTGCTCTGGCTATGGAGCGAGCTGTGCTGGCTATATACTGTTCTACAATGGGCATGGAGGCAGCAGCGCTTGGTATGAAGGGAAGCTGTGCTGCGTATGGAGTGCTCTGGCTATGGAGCGAGCTGTGCTGGCTATATACTGTTCTACAATGGGCATGGAGGCAGCAGCGCTTGGTATGAAGGGAAGCTGTGCTGCGTATGGAGTGCTCTGGCTATGGAGCGAGCTGTGCTGGCTATATACTGTTCTACAATGGGCATGGAGGCAGCAGCGCTTGGTATGAAGGGAAGCTGTGCTGCGTATGGAGTGCTCTGGCTATGGAGCGAGCTGTGCTGGCTATATACTGTTCTACAATGGGCATGGAGGCAGCAGCGCTTGGTATGAAGGGAAGCTGTGCTGCGTATGGAGTGCTCTGGCTATGGAGCGAGCTGTGCTGGCTATATACTGTTCTACAATGGGCATGGAGGCAGCAGCGCTTGGTATGAAGGGAAGCTGTGCTGCGTATGGAGTGCTCTGGCTATGGAGCGAGCTGTGCTGGCTATATACTGTTCTACAATGGGCATGGAGGCAGCAGCGCTTGGTATGAAGGGAAGCTGTGCTGCGTATGGAGTGCTCTGGCTATGGAGCGAGCTGTGCTGGCTATATACTGTTCTACAATGGGCATGGAGGCAGCAGCGCTTGGTATGAAGGGAAGCTGTGCTGCGTATGGAGTGCTCTGGCTATGGAGCGAGCTGTGCTGGCTATATACTGTTCTACAATGGGCATGGAGGCAGCAGCGCTTGGTATGAAGGGAAGCTGTGCTGCGTATGGAGTGCTCTGGCTATGGAGCGAGCTGTGCTGGCTATATACTGTTCTACAATGGGCATGGAGGCAGCAGCGCTTGGTATGAAGGGAAGCTGTGCTGCGTATGGAGTGCTCTGGCTATGGAGCGAGCTGTGCTGGCTATATACTGTTCTACAATGGGCATGGAGGCAGCAGCGCTTGGTATGAAGGGAAGCTGTGCTGCGTATGGAGTGCTCTGGCTATGGAGCGAGCTGTGCTGGCTATATACTGTTCTACAATGGGCATGGAGGCAGCAGCGCTTGGTATGAAGGGAAGCTGTGCTGCGTATGGAGTGCTCTGGCTATGGAGCGAGCTGTGCTGGCTATATACTGTTCTACAATGGGCATGGAGGCAGCAGCGCTTGGTATGAAGGGAAGCTGTGCTGCGTATGGAGTGCTCTGGCTATGGAGCGAGCTGTGCTGGCTATATACTGTTCTACAATGGGCATGGAGGCAGCAGCGCTTGGTATGAAGGGAAGCTGTGCTGCGTATGGAGTGCTCTGGCTATGGAGCGAGCTGTGCTGGCTATATACTGTTCTACAATGGGCATGGAGGCAGCAGCGCTTGGTATGAAGGGAAGCTGTGCTGCGTATGGAGTGCTCTGGCTATGGAGCGAGCTGTGCTGGCTATATACTGTTCTACAATGGGCATGGAGGCAGCAGCGCTTGGTATGAAGGGAAGCTGTGCTGCGTATGGAGTGCTCTGGCTATGGAGCGAGCTGTGCTGGCTATATACTGTTCTACAATGGGCATGGAGGCAGCAGCGCTTGGTATGAAGGGAAGCTGTGCTGCGTATGGAGTGCTCTGGCTATGGAGCGAGCTGTGCTGGCTATATACTGTTCTACAATGGGCATGGAGGCAGCAGCGCTTGGTATGAAGGGAAGCTGTGCTGCGTATGGAGTGCTCTGGCTATGGAGCGAGCTGTGCTGGCT